AAAAAAAAACTCAAAAATACTCAAATTTCAAAATAGATCTTTGAAATGGATAAAGGTCTTTAAGGCTGCCCAACACAATAGGGAAACGCCTTTCCATCAAATACGCCCTTTCCAAAATATGGTACGGTAGCATTGGACAGCCACACCAGCGTCACTTATATCGAGGCCAAGATGCTGATGGTGTATCAAACAAACGTCTCCACTCCCAACGGTCTTGAGAACAAAGACCTTCTTACCTGATTAAAACCACCGCCGTCTCTTGGTAAAACGAAAGTAGACGTCGCGTACCTCGGTCCATAAGCATCGTCCCTCTTTTTATGATCAGTCAGAGACTGTAATTCTCTCCCAGAAATGTAAGTGGTCGTTTTCCCCGCAGGTGAGTACACTGTTTCTTTGGAGTTGTAGTACAGGGTGTATTTATCGGGAGGTGGTGGAGGAAGTCGGAAAGGCTGACAGGGATCTTCGATGGAGTCTGGGCACGGGGGACCATTAAAACAAACACATCTAATAAAAAAAAAAAAGAAGAAGAAATACAAATAACATCAGCTGAAGAAATTTTTGTGTGTGTGTGTGTGTGTGTGTTACAGCGAGCACAGAACAGAAATCTAATTCTCTGGCCTTTACCAATGGTGACAAACGGAAAACCGAGCGAGTTAAAGTGTTTAGGAGTTATTAGGGACTAGTTACTTTGGTTTTGTTACAATATAAAATTTACCTGATCCTCCATTTACGTTTTGTTGTATTCTACCATGTCTACTGATCCCAAATTGGCACCTAGTTTTTCTACAGTTCTCTGTTAGCAACGGGTAACCTCCCTCCGTTCCCCCAGCAAACCGTACGAAAAAAAAATCCACCCCACTCACCCCCCCCCTCCCCTCGCTGGTCCCTGGTCCCTCGCTTACGTCCAGTATGAGGAGAAGTAATTCGTGTGACCTTTGACTTTTGGACTCGTTAAATGACTCAGGAGTGACGTACCTTGTGTTTGAAGAACATGAAGTGATTTTGTCCACCATTTTGCCAGTCTCTTTATCAATGTAACAGTTATGCCATCCTGTTAAATCCGGGAGACAGTACTTTCCGGGGGGACCTTCATCACAAAATTCGTCTGGTAGATTAGCCACTTCCGCAAAGGAACAATGCAGCAAGTACGCGAGCAAAGTTATGGACAACTGCAGTTTCATTTTAAAGAGTGTGATTCTCTACAAGACAGGGTTATAACGTATTTAAGTAGAGCAGTTTTAAGTTAAATCAGTAGAAAATAGAATAAAGCATTAGACAGAGCATGTTTTCGTGTCTTCTGTGAGTGAGATGAGTGTGCTGCACAACGGTGTGACATTATGAAAAGTATAGTCCCTCGACATTTTGCGAATAAATAAAAGGAAACGGGATGGACGACAGGCAATTGCGAGAGACTTAAATTAGGACATTTTCATTCAAAAACGGCAATGATGAGATTTGAATCGGTCTAACAGGGGTCTTGCAGACGAAAGATGCGAAACTTCACTTCCGCGACGTGAGTCAACAACGTGCATGGTCAAAGATTCAAAGTTTGAATCTCTGACGGCTAGCCGCAAAATAAGATATCTCCTAACGGAAGGAAATCGATCCCATGCGAATAAAACATCAATTTGCATTGCTCACCTTGTAACGATTCCGAAGTCGTGAATGTTCAAGCTGTGCAGTATCACTTTTGAAACGCTCACGGATCAGCTGATCTCTTTACCGAATCGAGGTTCATTGCGAAATTATCACTTCTTCATTATTTTTGCATAAACAGTCACGCAATCGCAGTACTGAAGAAATGCTGAGTGGTCCCTTTGCTGAATAATTTGTCGATTAAGGAAATTGTCCACTAACGGCATTTTCCACGAATCTTTCATCAATCCTCTAGTAATTAATTTGCGGTCACAGTGATTTTTAACTGGAGTGCAATCTTTCGAAAGCTGAAGGAAGAAAACACGCTCCGGCGACGACGAACTTTCTGTCGAACAAAAGTGCGTGACGCTTCTATTATTTTAAGGTATTACAAAGTCTACGAAGTGCGAGTCACCTGATACAACCAAAAGAAGAAAAATAGGAAACTAAGGCTCATTGATCATTCTTTTTCCTCAGGTTTTAACCTTTTACTTCATATGAAGGCTCCTAAAACTGGGTATACAATAGAAGGTTCGAAATCGTACTAGAAAGCGCAAAGTGAAAAGAGGGATAGTGGAACGAAGACTAAATCTTAACATGGGGGAGGGGGTGGAAAAATACATACTTGTGTAGTGAAAGGCTTCTGCTCAAGACTACGAAAAGGCGACTCGTGAAATGTGTACCCCTTTCCCTATGCGGGTTTTAAATTCTTTCCCCTTCCCTCATTACCTCACATAGAGGCTAACCTTAAAAATAAGGAGGAAACGTTTCAAAAACCATAGGCTAATTTTTTATTGTCAAAGTGAGGAGCAGATTACCATGAATTTACTTCAGAAACTCGCGATAGTACAATTTTGTATTATGAGATAAATTTGTTTGGGACTTTTTTTCAAAGAAGATTTATCTTTTCAAATCTTCGTCAAAAGTCAATTGGGGAATCCCTCAATAATTCTAACAGTCTACATCATCAACATATCTTTTTTTTCCCTGCCAGAATGTATGGAATCTCTTCTGCCGAAAGTCAGACGCGAGCATGCAGGAGCGTAGGATCTTAAACCTCAGTTTTGTAGAAAACTGCGGCTCCCTGAGCGCAAAATGTAGGCATCGTCAGCTGGCTTGGATCCAAGAAATCCGTGAAAAATGAATAGTACATGGTATCAGCGTATACAGTGATGTTGCTACTGGGAGTTGGTCGCGCGATGGACTGGTACATATATGGCCTGTACTGACTATTAGGGAGGCTTTCCAGGTACCATCTCTCTGAGGAGACCATCTCGGTCTTACTGCGGCCCCCAGACTCCCATGCACACATCTTTAGTGTTGCGTTGTACTTTTCCATATACTTCTCTGACAGTTCACACGTGAAATAATACGGTACTCCAAAGCGCGGGAAAATGGAACGGGTTTTAAGGGTGCAGTTCTTCTTAAACCAAGCTGTTTCGAACTAAAACATATGAGATTATAATGAAAAACCAATATTGCAGTGCTGATAGTGCTTGGACTGCTGGTAGGGGGAAAAGGTGCCTTAACAAAATGGAGCTTATCAGACACGACACTACTACGGAAGGATTTTCTCATATCCTTGATCGCGTAAACTTCCTTGCTATTTCTTACTGCTAGTGACTTTAGGGTAAACTACATCCCTCCTCAAGGCTTTTCTTGGTGCCTTACAGAAAGTGTGGCTGTGATAATATGTGAAAAAAAAAACATACTAATTTCGTGCATAAAAAAAGCACCAGCTGCGTTGGAAAAAGAAAGCGTGTCCGCCAAAGTACAGACTTCGTCATCTGGCGCAATTAGTCTTCACCTCGTTCATTGAAAAGAAACACAGGCGTAAAGAAACAAGCACCATCTACAAAATATGTGGCGATCGTTAAAGAATACAGGCTTTCCTAAATTTACAAGCACCCTAGTTACCTGGATATAGTCGTCGTTTTCGATGTACTGGAAGGGGAAGATAAACCGCGTGTTCCAGCTTATTCCGATTTCATCACGTCGTTGCTCTCCAGCGGTGGCATTCTGCAGTAGTTCGCCAATATTTGTCTCACTAGTGCAGGCTTTGTTTACACAAGTTGTGACTGTTGTGGTGTAAAAAGTGGAAAACACTTTCGGCAGGGGAGGGGGCAGTTGGTATGTAGCGCAAGGATCTGTTATGTTTGATGAGCAGCTTGGGCCGTAAAAACACTGACACCTTGACAGAATCATGCAATGAAAGAATTATTAGCGACTAGTAACTACTTGTCGTCTGGAGGGAGGGGGAGTGGAGGGGGGAGTGGGAAGT